TTTCTATTCACAGGCGCTGCTGTCCTCCCGCCTCCCATACCGTGCGGGCTCTGCAGGAGGCTGGGTCTTAACCGTGCAGGGGATAAGGCTGCACCCACGGAGGAGACAGCGCGGGCAAGCAGGTAGCAGGGGCTAGGGAGGGCTTTTATTCTCTAGGGCTGCAACCAATTAATCAATAATAATCGATGAGAATAAGTATGAACTTTTCTAATTATCGATTAGTTGGTTGGATCCGCTAGCTCTATCCTCCATGCTGAAAGGAGGGCTCAGCAAACAGTGGGCAGGTGCTATAGCCAGCCTGCTATTGGCTATTGCAATTTGAAATGGCCAATAGCAGGCTGGCATTTGCACCACCCCACTACCTGCTGTATTTACATTCAGCTGCCGCCTGCAGAATCTTGCCATTGGCAGCTGCCATTCCCTCGCTGAAGATATTCAAGCACCATGTGCTTACAATACAATTATTAAAAAATAAATGTATAAAAAGGTGGGGGGGGGGCACACAACCATTTTTGTTTTTGGCCTGACAAATTCTGGTGCGAGAGGTGCGCTGCAGTGCGATTCATTTAAATGGGGAGGGAGTGTGATTGCCTGCAGTGGAACGCATGGTACCGCAATGTTCCAGTGCAGTGCTATTGCAAAAAATTGAGCATGCAGTTTTATTCTGAAGTAAACTTTATGTTTGTTAACACCATTTGTGTAGTTCATTTTAAATTAAGGAGGGTATTTCATTTTTTAAATCTGATTAATGGAAAAAAAATTTGGCCGACTAATCGATTATGAAAATAATCATTAGTTGCAGCCCTAGTATTCTCTCCTGTGAGTGTGCTTCCAATTCTCTTACCAAGCCCAGAGCGTTACCAAGTCCAGAATCCAGTGCTCCGTTTGGGGTAATCACAACTTGTCAAATGTTACCAAGGGGTCCCGGCCATATAAAAGGTTGAGAACCACTGTTATAGACTGACTGCATAGGCAATCAAAGTAAGAAATGTTGTAATGTTACATTGTTGAGCCATTTGAACCCTTCACATACTTACTACATAGTGGTTCCTTAAAACAATGCAGAAGTTGCTTACATAACTTTGCTTACATTTTACATATTTTAATTTTATCACTTGCAATCAGCTTTTCTTTTAAGCAAACCTTACCTCTTACTTATGCCCGAGCCCATCACTAATCCTAATGCTCTTGACTTCCTAAGGGTGGGAGACGGGGCATGCTCTTATATACAAGTACCTACATCAGTCTTCAAATTGACTGTTCTTTTGTCCCTCCTTGGATTGCAGACTTAGATTAGGGTTTGGGCAGACTATAAGGTCCTGTGTACAGTCTGGACCCTAAATCCAATAAGCTGTACGGGGAGACAAACTGATTTGCAAATAGACACACTTCAGCAGTATTATTAAAGTGTACGTCTAGGCAAAAATAAAGTGCATCTAGACCCAAGGAGAAAAATGTAATATAATGTCCCTCATGCAGTGTATGGGCAGTTGTTGAACAAGCAGGCCACTAACTCGCCGCGAATCGTACGAGTTTACCAGCCTGCTTGTTCGACGGAAGACGTGCGACCGTACAGTAGAAACGGTTGCACGCCTTCCATACACTGTACGATTGTCGTACGATCGCGGTATTTCCCGGGATTCTCGTACGATAATCGTGCAGTATATGGGCACCTTTACACGCACAATGTGCATTAAAGGGTAAGTTCGTTTTCCCAGGTAATAGGGGAAAATGGAATTACCCGATCAAATCTCTCCCAACCACCCTGGCTATACTTACTAGGGATGTCCCGATAATTAACTCACAGTGAGTGAGGGCAGATTTGGGGGGGATTAAGCAATTATGTATAGTCTGCACTGTATTAGCAGTATATATTCTATATAGAGTAAATACTGCTAATACAATGCAGACAATACATAACATGAATGGATTAAATGATCTGTATGTAGCCCTGTATTATGGATCATATGATTTAACCTATTCATGTTAGCAGAGGATAATTGTAACTCTATTACTGCAGTGTACGGGACATGTGTGCTGTGTATGTACTATGGATCATGATTTAACCTATTCATGTTAGCAGGGCAGAATTGTGAGCGCCTCCCACAAGCTGAGCACCGTGATGCGATGCAGCGATCCTGCCCAGCGCCGACTACAAGAGGCAACTCTTGAGGCAACAGGGATCGGAGTGAAACTGGGACAGGGCTGGCTGTAAATCTATTGCTATACAGGCATTCCTCACTTAACGACCGAGTTCCGTTCCTACGACCAGGTCGTTAAACGGATTGGTCGTTAAGTGAGGAACTCTATACAGTACTGTATTAGTACAGTACTGTATAGCGTTGCTGATGAACAGTACCGAACAGTGTACTGTACATCGGGCAATGAAAATACTTACCGGGACCCGCAGTGAAGATCAGAGGACACCACTTCCGCCGGCGACACGGGGCACTGATGTTGACGCGCAAGGTCGGAGGTCGATCGGCGGTCCGTCCTAACTGCGAGTGGTCGCAAAACAGGTAAGTCGGTAAGCGAGGAACATCTGTAGTGTACTGGACGTGTGTAATGTATATGTAGTACATATATATAGCACTCACCTCCACTACAGCATACAGCAATAGAGTTACAATTCTGCCCTGCTAACATAAATAGGTTAAATCATGATCCATAGTACATAACATGTATCATTTAAAGTCACCTGTCCCTTTAAAAAAATGTATCGGTAATTGGCATCGGCAAGTACATGAGGGGAAGTACTTGTACTTGGTCCTGAAAAAGTGGTATCGGGACATCCCCAGAAAATAGCTCAATCTTCAGAATCTTATCCCTACGCGCACTGCTAAAGCAGTTAAATGTCCTTATTACAGAAATAATTTAATAAAACAGGATCATAATAAAACAAAACATGATCCTTACTGCTGAAAAAGTATACAGCATAGAAAACAAAATCAATACAAACACATTAGAAGTATCTAAAACTATGCAAAACACATGCACCCATTTTAAGTGAAGTAAGTTAAGAACAGTTCATGGTACAAATTACATGAGATATCCAACTAAGTGGAAGCCCAAGGAAGCAGCTTACCTAGGTCATTCAGTAATGAAGGTGATGTTAGATGGCCCTGTCTCAAAAGTTTTCTTCTGACTTCTTCACTCTCAATGTGTAGTTCAGATACCATGTTACAGGGAATGTATCCTGTTCTCCCTCCATGCTTCCCCTGATAAAATCCATCTGTATCCTTATCACCAAAAACCTGCAAAACATTTTCATGTTACAAAAAGCAAATACCAATTCCCCTCTATAAAACTAGAGTAAATCAGATGTGAAACATTAACCCTTTCACTGCCAAGCCCTCCGGAACATTTTTCAAATCAGCTGGCCACGCCATTTTTGCAATTTTTCGCATTGATTTGATTGTCAACTGCTGGGTTGCTAGCGTTTGTAAAAGACCCCCCAAACCATATATTTAATGAAAGCGCAGGCCCGGTAGAATAAAAAGATGGTGATACTAAATTTGTAGGCCCTGCGATAATTGCGCAAATGTTTCTCAAATTAATATTAAACCGATAAAAATACACAATTCAATTGTTAAAACACACCAAAATCCGTATCCGTGCACAAAAAAAAATATTTTGTGACTAAATCTAAAAGATAAAACTGTATCGAGTTAAAAAATAACAAATATTAGCAAATTTGTAATTGGGCCTGCCGGGAACACTTTTGTGGCAGCAAAAGGGTTAAAGTGCAACTGAAGCCAATTATTATTTTTGAGTATAGTGGAGAGGGATTAGAACACCAGTCAGGTTTTTTTATGTATCATGAATACAGATCAAACAAAAATACATTGTCCAGCAAAGTATTGATTTATTTTTTCGCCCAATCTCTTACAGACAACAGCTGGCTCCAACTCTCTCAGCTCCCCTGAACTTCCTGTCCAGTACAGGACCACAAGGAACAGAGCAGTCTCCAGTAACTATTCATCTACTATCTTGGAAAAGGAAGGAAGGAGGGGGCAGAAAGGAGCAGCACTTGATTGACTTGCCTTACTAGCACATACAATAATGTCACCATAGGACCCTGAAAGGCAAAGGAGTCACCCTAAAACAGTGGGGGACCAGCTGATTCTGCAGGAATACAACCTTAAACATCAAGTAGCAGCATTCATTGTAAGTTATTTAATCAGTATTTAAATAGTTTTAACACCTGCTGACTTTAACATCACTTTAATGTTTTTATGGTACGTTTGTCTAAATTAAGATTCATGGCAAGCGATTTAGAATCATGTAGTTTGATCTCCACATGCACACGCAGCACAGCAAGGCAAGCTACAATGCTGCTCTCCACCCCCCCTTCATCCCTTTTCTCTTCTCCAAGCTAGTAGATGGCCATATGTTGCTGTCCCTTGTGATCATGTACTCAATAGGGAGTTTAGGGAAGCCAAGCTGAGAGAGTTGGAGCCATATGTTTATGAAACATGATGACTAAGTGCTTGGGGACAAGTTTAAATAAATCCTTTGCTGGGCAATGTTTATTTGTTTGATCTGCTTGCATTATTGAAAACAAGTTTGAGCATTTAATACTACTTTTAGTCTCATTCTGATACAAATAGTCATCGTCCTCATTTTCCTACTAGGGTATACAACTAACACCATCCTTTCATACCCTTCATCACTTAAATTACCTATCATTATTAAAAAAAAAAAAAAATGTTGGATGACCTAGATGAATGGACACTACCACTCCCTTCATAGTTTGGATGTCTCTATGCTATAAAAATTAACATTCTACCTAAGGTCCTCTATTTATTCCCTCTTCTTCCAAAAACTTAGTTTAAAAGATTTCAATTCTGTAATATCTAAACGCTTCGGATCTGTATGGGGGAAAATGTAAACCCATAATTAAAAAACATACTCCTAAAAATCTAGGTGGTTTAAGAATTTCACTTCTGAAATATTTTCAATCAGCACAGCTTGGTCCATTATTACAACTTAATACAAATCATGTCCTATCTCAAAGAGCATCTAAACCCGAAAAGCAATAAATTAATAAATTGCAGCTTATCAACTCTTAAATGTGATGGCTGCATTAGTTTTCTTTTTTGGGCTTGTCTTTCTTTATTTTCATCAGGATATCCAGCCAGTAAGTCTTATTTTTCAACTTTAGACCAAACTGTCCAGCAAAAGTGGCAGATAGAGGGTTGAGACAAGCCATTTAACACTGACAGTGATGCTTACAATAGTCAGCTTTTATTTATGTAAAATCTTTATTCCAAAAGGAAAAAAAAATATAATGCTTGCTGCAACTGCTTAGAAAGTGTTAGATGGAGTTCATATTGAATCGTTAGTCAAGTGCATCAAAATCTGCTATGCATCCAACACTACCCTGTTCACAGGTTGACAATGCTGCTGCCCAAGGGGGGCTCTATTGCTCCATCATAGAGTGGAGTCACCCTAAAGGTGGTTCCACTAGCCGTATTTCGGACGGTTTTTAAGGTACCGGCCAAAATTTGCACAGTGTGTGGGGCTGTTGACTCCGTTTCAGATAGCATCAGCTGATCGAAGGAGCCTGTTGGAAAATCTTTGTACGATCAGAGCCAGAAACAAATGAGGTGCCCGCTCTGATCGGGTATTCTAACAGGTGCCGGCGGCAATACAATGCAAACAGTGGCGATTCCTTAATTGACACGCTGTTTGTGTTGATGAAGGAATCGCGTTGATTTTTTTCGTTCAGCCCGCGGGTTGAACAAAAATAATTGATAGGTGTATGGCCAGCCAAAGACAGAAAGTGTGGCATTGAAAGGATCACCAGTTGAAAATTAAGGAAAAAAGCCTATAAAAGAAAACTAATGCAATCACCACATCTAAGGATTAGGATCTTAGCTGCAATATGTTAATTGTTTTGGATTTTGGGTTTAGATACACTTTATTGGGCTCAAATTGAATCTCAAGCTTGTTCACCACTCTGTATAGATATGGCAATGTGGATTAAACCCGATGCCAACCAACCTGTCATACTTAAGCACTTTCTATCCCACTAACAAGCACTATACAGTAGGACCGACTGAACGCTAAATACTATTTTCAATCTTTTCATTCTCAATTAGCTACTATACTTTAAATTCCTAACAAACATGCCAATATTTCAAATGGTGGACAAATAAGAATGAGAAGTGTGAATTGCAGACTTCTACACATCTTAAAGGTATTGTATCAATAGACAATCTACGGAAAAACTATAAAAGGTCCCTAAGAAGAAAAGCATCCTGGAACAGTTTTCCATATTTGGTGGATTTGACCAAAAGGCCACAAATTTTGGAGCAAAATATACAAATAACGTTCCTTACTAGTATATCCTTAACTGAATCTGCTTCTGTAGTTCTCCTCAACCATTGTATCCCCAACATTCCTAGACATTGTGGTCATTTTTTGCAGCCACAATTACTAGACCATGGAACTCATCAATAAATGATTTTGAATGCACTTTTTAAAAGTCGAATTGCTTAATGGTCACTGAACATCACTCAGCTATTTTAAATTGTAAGATTTTCGCTAGGTCTGGGATCCATGGCCATACATATAGATATATATCCAACCAAACATCTGAAATTCTGCCTCTTGAGAAATTTCCCACACGTTCTTTTTTCCCCATTAGGTTTTTTTTAATGATATGATAAAATTTTAGAATTTTTCTTTCTGTAATCATTCCACTTAACATGTACAATGTTCTAACAAATTACTGAATTAGAAATATACCTGTAAAATCTGTCCTTCTTTAAATGGAAGCTCTTCCATATATGCATCAGGGTTTGGTGACATGGTTTCTGGGTCATAATCAAAAAGGGCTACAAACATTCGTATAGAATCCACTTCTTGACATTGTGAGGTATTCTCTTGATGTTGAAATCGGTTATCCTGATGACACTCTGCTACTGTAGCGCCAACATCTGCATATATATATATAGATATATATTTAGCAAAGCAGAATATTCCATCAGACAATAAATAAATATACGCTATGTAAAAACACACAAAAGGATTATAGTGTATTTATACACAAAAAATGTATTATAAATCAGCTTACAGCATTTTTTTTTATCCTAGGGTGACAATGCTCACTATACTGCATCTACTGAGATACAGAATTGTCATCCTAGGCTGGGTGCTCCTGATTTAGTCCCAAGGATACAACATTTATAAATACACAGGAAAATGAGCATGAATTGGATAGATGTACTGAATAAATTGTCTGGGCACAATCTAAAAAAAAAAAAAAAAAAAGATAAAGGATAAATGGTTACAGACCTGGTTCAGAGTCTGAGGCCAGGTGATTCAACCTTGCCTTGTTTTCGGATGCTGCCGGTACAGTACTATCTGGATGTAATGGCACCTTTGGTTCCTCCTTCCACTCGTCCTAAAAATAAAATAAGCGAATTAATGTTTATTCTCGTAATTGTACAGCTATCAGCAAGAACATAAACCAGGTCAAGCTAAGACTAGCATACGGAAACAAAGGTGATTCACATTACTGACATTACATATAATACTCCTCAAAATAATTTACAATAATACTCATCTAGTAAGGCCTTTGAAAAGCATATTTTAAAATGTGTATGTAAAAGGTGAAAACTGGTGTACGAAAAAGTAAAAAAAAAAGGAATTATAAAAACCACCAACCTGTTTTACAGCTTGAGCACATTTGTGATTATTATATTTTACAAAATCTATTTAAAAACTATGTTCAATGGTAATGTATAATTTAACTCAGAAAAACTGTGCAGTCAGCAGATTTCAGTGATGCAACCCCTATGCCATGTTAGCAGGTCTAGTTATTTATATGTGAGAAGAAAATATAATAAGACTAGCAAACAGATTGGCAGGCAGCAGCTCATATCTTGAGTCCTTTCAATGTCAACCCAGGGCCCTTCAGAAGCGTGAGGTAGAAGTTGTTAAAGTGTATCTAAAATCAAGAATAACAATGCTATATATTGGAACTTACCGGTCTATAGATGTACTAATTAAAATCATTTTTTTCCCAGGCTTTTTAACCCCTTTACTTTCACCTGGTGATCCCGCCAGTAACACATTTCTTGTCCTAGGGCAGGGATGGCCAAATTGCGGCCCTCCAGCTGTGGTGGAACTACGAATCGCATGAGGCTTTGCAAAATTCTCACAGCCACAGACATGACTCCCGGAGAGAGATGCTTCATGGGATTTGTAGTTTCACCACAGCTGGAGGGCCGGAGTTTGGCCATCCCTGTCCTAGGGTGTCAATGCTTAGACACCACACAGTGAAATGCAGTGTTCTTTGAGAATTTAAGGTACCCCCCACAAACAAACACTTCCTCTATTACATAGGGGGAGATTTTCTACAGTCAACAGGGAACTGGGAAACCGGTAACAGTTGGCGGAGGCAAAGGACGTGATCAGCTCACAAGATTTCTGGCAGGATCAACAGGTACAGTTTTGCACTTAACGATACCATTGAATGCTTTCAATAGTATAATAAACAAGCCAAAAGGGAGCAAAAAAGGGAAGTTAGTTGGTAGGGTTTATTTACACTTTAAGGAGGGCTCTGGGTAGTGACTGAAGGGTACATACCAAAACAAAACAGAATCAGCTGTGGACTATAGTTGTTTTGCTTGATTGCTTCTTTTTCCCCACAGGTTCACTAGTTTAACATGTATGACATATAATACATATGACATAAAATCAGCCTTGTAAATTATTCCAGAGGAATACTGTATGTTTAAAAAGACAAAACAGTAAATTGTTTTGCAAAGCATTTAAAGCAGTGCAGCCAATGAATAGCAGTGAAAGCCCCTGAATGCTGCATACATTCTCTAGGCTAGGTGATTTCTTGGACCATGTATAAAGCAAAGGGAGACGCGATGGCACTAGCAAAGCCACAGCTACTACAGCATCTATAACGAGGGAAAGCAGGTGGGGACAAGTGAGCACACCACTGTAAGCACTGGGAAACCAAGCATCACCTTTCCGGCACCTTGCCATCGAACTGTCCTCACAGCTTTGTTACTTGCAGTTCTGTTGCCTTGATCCTCTTTATTACTGCCTTGCTGACTTCCATGAATTCGATCAATGTGTAGTAGGGATGCGTGTCGCTTTAGACAGTCTGTTGCTGTCTGCACTTTAGGTTGCTTTTTCATCTCCTTTTTTCTAGTAAACTTGATAGGCTCAGAGTAGTCAGAGCTTTCACTCCATCCTTCCCTGTCCGTCTGAGAGCTGTCCTCCCAAATATCAGCTTTAGTTTGTGTGGCATAGTAAGTTGGGACTGACAGGTCATCTTCATCCTCCGTATCATATTCAATATCAATTTCCAAGTGTTTATTGCTAAAAGTACTTGGAGATTTTGTTGTCACATTTGTGGGAACAAATGGCTGATGCTTCTGATATGATCTAGAAACCTTTATACTTCTGTGGCCAACTTGGGAAGCTTCCCTGGTTATACCACAGAAAACTGGCTCTCTGACATCATTGCCTCTAGAATTAGAAAGAACAGCTTGGTTAGCACTTGTAGCCAAACGACTGCAGTGCTCTCTCCCTTCACTCTGCTTCTTCCTGTTTGACCCTGCCACACAATGGGCTTTCTCATTCACACTGCTGTTCTTTTTTGCATTCCACATTGTGCTTTCAGAAATAACCGACTTTACTGAGTAAGGTGGAGACTGGGAAACACAACCTTCGGTTTTCTGGTGACAGTCCTGAAAGACATAGTCGTCCACAGAGCATTCAGCTTTACTGCCGTTTCCATGGATGTCCCTACAGCATCGTTCTGTAGAAAGGCTTGCACAGGTTCGACCCATTGGTTTCTGTGGAAAGGCTTCGTAGGTTTTCACGTAATGACATTTTGGGATTTCCACATTACAATGTGAAGCTCTGCAAGCGGTTGATGGTGAAGGATGCTCTTCTTCATCTTCTTCTTCTGTCACTTCTGGGATACTAAACAGCTTTTTACTGCAATGCTTTTGTAATGGCAGATCCAAAATTCTCTCAAGAATTTCCTCATCGCTGTCTGTTTCACAACAGTCCAGCTATATAGGTTTGTAAAAGATTAAGGAAAAACTGGTATAATATAAAAATAATAGGCACACTAAGAACAAAAGTGCATTATCTGATGATAGTATTAGCTATTCCAAAGCCCCATGGAAAAATGCTTACTTATTAGCATGTAAAATTGTTATAGTAGCCATACTGCTACTTCAAAAAAAAAAAACACAACACAAAAAGCAAAATACCCTGTACATTTTACATCAATGGGCTTTTCAAATGTGCAGGAAGGAGAAGCCTGGTCACATGACTTCTCAAAGTCAAATGAACAGCTCTCTGCCATACACAACTCTTTCTCTGCTGTATTAAGTAGAGAGAACCACTTAGGCCCCGTTCACACCTTTCCGTTTTGTTGGGCGTTCAACGCTCTATGAACGCCCTACAAAACGGCTGACGCCCAAACAAGTACATGTACTTCTTTGGGCCGTTTTGGAGGGCGTTTTCCATTGGGATACAGCCAAGTAGCCTTCGGAATCGCGCGACGGTCGCGCAATTTTTTTACCGCGGTAAAAAAACGCGTGAGGTTCGCGCAACAGACGTGCATGCGTAATACGCCTAGGTGGTGAACCCAGCCTTAGGGCTCTCCAGCTACACACCTTTTATGAATGGACCGCAAGTTACATAGCCCAGTATAATGTAGTGTGGATAGCATTATCTGCTTTTTGTATACATCAGCCTCAGCCACAAGTGTTCCATGTCACTCGCCATTGATTTTTCGTTCAGAAAAACTAGGCTACGTTTACTACACAGCCATGTGGCGACTCATCACAAACTATGAGCCAACATTGGCCTGGGAAGCACAAATCTAAAGGCAAACATTCTATTTTTAAAGTGGTGTTCAAGATTTAATGTGTTTCAAATATACAGTCATCCTAAAAGTGTGTACAAATAGTTGTACACATGTGAAATGGCCGTAAGGTTCGCTTCAGAGTTTCAGAATCCTTTCTGGCAATTGAAACTCACATACAACGGGAAAGTATTTCTTGACATATATGTGTACATCTAACCAAAGAAAGTATTACATACCTTTCCTGAGCTATCTGCCACTGGGCTGCTGGATGTCTGAACCCACTTTTGGGGACTAGGAACAACACTAGCATCATCATCTTCTTCCTCAAACTCTTCTTCTTCCAAAATGTCAGACAGGTTAGAGCTACGACTGTGATCTATGTGCACAGCACTTGAATGTGTGTCTAAAGGCAATTCACCAGCATCCTGGGTTTAACAAACACAATATATGTAAACACACAATGATATACTTTGACTTACAACTCTCAGCTTTATATAATATATTGAAAGTTGCCTGATCTTGGAAAAAAACAAACACTTTCTGTAAAGCACAATGCACCAACTATAGGATATTTATCAGCGTCTCTGCAGCAGTTCAATACATCCCTTGTGTATCAGAGCTGGAGCTCTCCAATCAGGAGGGAACATGAGCTCGGACTCACAAAGCTATCATGTCATACCACTGCAAAGAGGCCAATGCCTCCATACTGAGAGCAACAGTGCTTTGCAACATGGCAGCAAAAGAAGGGCTACTTTGCCTGTGGCCCCTTTATCAAAAGAATGGTAAGGTTGTGATCACGTACCATATTTCTGCACCTGGAATTAATTCACATCACTTTAAAAAGGAGTACAAATAAACTCTAAAGGTGGCCATACACTGTACAACCATCGCAAGACCTTAGTCTTGCGATGGTTGTAAAGGGATTAAAAAAAGTACGATCTGCCCATCTTGGACAGGCAGATCGTACTCGCGATCATCGCAAGCCACGCCCCCTGAGGGACGGGCATGCGATGACTGTAATGAGGGGCGGGCTTACGCTGACTGCAAACGGGCAGTGTGCACCGGCCCGTTCGGCAGTTGTCGAACTAGCAGGCCAACAACTCGCCGAGAATCGTACGATTCTCGGCGGGTTTTCAAACATGCTGGTTCGATGGAAGACGTGCGACCGTACAGTAGAAACGGTCGCATGCCTTCCATACACTGCACGATTCTCGTACGATCGCGGGATTTACCGCGATTCTCGTACGAGAATCGTGCAGTGTACGGGCACCTTTAGGCTTTTTTTTTTAAGGTCTTTCTATACATAAACATATACATGTACAAGAGCAACCATATAGTCATTCCATTCAAAAAGGCTTTGCTTTCAGATTTGCAGTAAAGCACAATGACCATTCTTCACTGCTCCTCTCCAGACAAAATGTGGCAATTACATGGAGTATTTGGCAGTACCCTGTAACATATGTGTATAGTTATAAAAGTGTCTTGGTAAACTATACCTTCTAGAGTGTGTTTGTTAAAGCTACTAATTGCAAAAACAAGTAGGTTGAAGTTCAGAAAATTAGTTTTACAGGTGGAAATACTTTTAGATTTTTCTAACAGAGTGAAATATTGTTTTGCCCACTGACCTTCTCTTTATAGGTAATATTAGAACCGCTTGACTCCTTTCCCTCTTTCTTGTCTACCTCAAGAAAGTCATCAATGGACACTCCCCGATGGCTTAGGCTGCTAGTATTGTTTTCTGTATCCTCGGATAATCCTGTCTCTGGACTGGAGCAGTCCTCTTTGGTGTTTCTTGTATTTAATTCGGTACCATTTTCTTTCTTCCATGTTACGCCCAGTGACAAGTCACACAGCACTTGGTCACCAACTTCAGATACTTTGGTGTCTGGAAACTGCTATACAAAAGGAAGGATTTCATTTTCATGAGAACATTTACCATTTTCACGAGAACATTACTTATAGATTCCTTTTCAACTAAGATATTTTTTAAGATCTGTAATGTGTTAAAACAGGCTTGCATTAGTTTAAGAGATCTTATTAATAAGATCTTCTTAATAAAAAGTTCTTATTAGCTTTTAACCATGCTAGCTACGAACCTAAAGATAAAAGAGTCTAAGGGCTTCAGACGTGTGTTGATCACATTAGTTTCAGATTGGTGGGGGTAATTCCATTTTCCCAAATTTGCCTCTGGAAGTGGAATTACCCTTTAAGCAGGCGTGTGGTGATGACATTAGTTTTATATCAATCTGAGACACTTCTGAGATAATTTAGAATTTATTGCCAGGTGCTTGTGACCTGCAGCTGACCTCCTAACTTGCATTTGACCTGTTTTAAGGGTTAGACTTGTATGGGGATGCAAAACTTATCCCCATCTCTTGCAGGAGGCAGGTTCCCTTTAATGCTCCCATCCACAACTGAACATACTCATCTTTCTATTACTCCCCTGCTGCTGGGACACAAGTCACACCAATTGAAACTTACACAGGGCAGGGACCCTTCCTGTTCCTACAAGCAAGGCTGAGCAAATCTACAAGTACCAGCACCGTCACAAGTCCCTCCATACTAGAAGTGCTGGGTAATTTATTTTCACCCAGCAGGTAAACAGTGCAGTAAGAAAGCAAAGATTAAAAGGAGTATGTGCTGCTTGGGAGGAAAGGACATTTGAAGAGTAATTCCACTCTCCCAGGCCGAATTTGGGAAAATGGAATTAACCCCACCAATCTGTCCTCTCTCCCCCCTCCCGCTGCTCTTACCTTTGAACGAAGGCTGCTTCCCTTCCACGGCTCAAGGTGTACAATCAACATCGCGGCCTTGCACTAGGTATTTCAAATTATGCTCGCAAATGGTGAGCATTCATTGGCCAGCGTGGTCACCTGATCTGACCAATGATGCTCGCCATTTGCGTGTGTCATTTGAAATATAGTGCAGGGCTACAATGCTGTGTACAAGGGACAGATCGTACGCTGGAAGCTGCTGAGGGGCAGTAGCATTGTTCAAAGATAAGAGAGCGGGAGAGGGGACAGATTGGTGGGGGTAATTCCATTTTCCCAAATTCGCCTGGGAAGTGGATTTTCCCTGCACGGGTAAAACAAAAAAAAGAAAAAACAAAAAACAAAAAGGAAAAAAAGAAGGATGAAAGGCAAAGTTACCCTCTTGCATTTCATCCTGGGTACAAAACAAGGGCATAAATGGGCAGGTCTCACATTCTAAAATACTGGCTATCCTATTGGTTGTGTATAATCAAGGTTATTTTCACTATTTATTCATACTTCAATACTCCATTTATTGTGACGTGTATTGTACAACAAAATTTGGCAGGAAAACAAGCTAAGAAATATTCATCATGGGCACATTTCATGCAAGCCACATGAATTGGAAACAACAACAAAAACTATGCTCGGGACATCAATGTACATCAGAAGAAGTGAAATAAACATACACTATAAATACACTAGGTGTTATTTTGTAATTTGTCATTTTAGATAACATCTTCAACTTACCTGACTATCTTGTAATGATGTCTCTTTTGATTGCAATGCGATCCTAGATATTTCCAAACTGTTACTGATGGTTCTCCCCGGAAATGGGAGTGTGGTAGAATCTGGTAAAAAGGTTGAGAGTTTTTCGTGTGTACCTTGGCATGACACTTGAACCTCAGAAGGCTCTAAACTGGAAGATCCTTGGCAGTAACCAGAGGAAGCACTGAGTGGTGAAATTGGTAGCTGTGGTACAATCCGGGCAGGCAAAGAGTCTATGGAGTCCCCTCTGCTACAATTTGTTTGGATGGAGAGATCAACCTGGAGAGTGGATGCTGCTTGATTGTGAAGTGAGCAGGGGGAAGATGAAATAAGAGGCATAGATGGTAGAGAGGCCAGGGGCTGCTCACTGGTAAGGCTGGAATTAGAAAAGGTCTGTGACCAGGAAGGGCTTTCAGGGACCTTTATAAAGGCAGAGGGTATTTGAGCTGGCACTGAATCCACAGATTCTCCACTGGGTGACATAGTCCTAACAGATATTTCCCGAGACACCTGCAGCAGATGCAAGTGAGACGTGCCCACCAACACACTGCCAGCTGTGGGAGAAGTAACTTCCAGTACCTGAAAAGTAAAAAAGATACATTAAACCATTCTATGTTCTCTTAACAACAAAAAAAGAGCAATCTAAAAAGGAACACCTCCTTGATTTACTTTTATCGGGTTCTGATTACATGAGCAAACAAAGTTCAGATCAGACTATATAAAATACAGGTCACATACACACTATCTATTCATCTAACCGTCCATCTATCTCTATTAATACAAATTGCAGATGGGGAACAGCACTAATGACATAGGTGTGTCTGGGCACACCCTAATCACCCCGCACCACCAGTGACAGCCTGCATCCCGAGCGCAGAGCAGCCAGCGGGACATGTCTGCTGATGACACCCCCCACTCAACAGCGTGCCAGTGACAGCCCTCACCCAGAACACAGAGCAGCCAGAAGGACCAGCTTTGGGGACATTGCCAGCTGATGGAATCCCCCCCCCCAAGCATCAGGGACAGCCCTCACCCGAAGCACACGGACAGCCAGTGGGACAATCTTAGAAGACATGCCTGGGTACCTACTTCCTCCTTCCAGCTCAGCCCTCTGGATGGCCAGCAAAGTGCATGTGAGTAGCCATTCTCCACCCCAGTCCCCCTCTCATTTGAAGAGATGGGAATCCATATACTTTTGTGTGCACTCCCTATTGCAATAGGCTGCACACACCTATGACTGATGAATGTCACCAAGATCTCGGTTTCAAAAACTATGGATTTTAAAAGACATGGCCATGAAGAACCAAATCAACAAAATAACCCATCACTGAGCATACAGTACAGGGGTGTGGAATTTTTTTTTTAAAACTACTTGTCCAAGGGCTAAAGCGGGGGCTGAATCTACTTGTCGCTCATGACAATCTACTTCTCCCAATACAAAAAAAAATATGTTTTAATCAAAAGTAGGGATGCACCGATATAGGTTTTTGGGTATCGAGCACGAGCAATGATTCTGTTTGCCTGGGAAGCCTGCTCCATGCCATCAGGAAGCTGGGCAGCAGGTAATTACATGCTACCCAGCTTCCTGATTGCCAGGGAAGCCGACTCCAGGTTGTTGGCCGGCTTGATCGTGATTGGCCAGGAAACCGGCTTCCCAGCCAATCAGCATCGAGCCAGCCAATCAGAAAACCGGACGATGAATAATGGCCTTATTGGCCGGGAAGCCAGCTTCCCAGCCAATCAGCAAACTGGGGTGGGTCATTAGTCGGTGCCCCGCTTTCTGATTGCACGGGAAGCTGGCTTCATGTTCCCCTATGGCACTGCCAGTCAGAGGAAATCTTCCGCTGACCAGAAGTTCCAGTATTGGGGAAGGTATCGGAGCATTTGGGCGAGTACAAGTACTTGCCCAAATATTCTGTATTGGTGCATCCCTAATCAAAACTGTATTTGACCGTGCTAAATAGTAGGGTTGCACAGATACCAAGTACAGTACTCGGTACAAGTACATGTACCGATACTTTTGAGCTCCGAGGCTACACTAGAGAAAAATTCAAAAATTAGGAGGCAGCTGTCATTTGTAAGGAGCACACTGAGCTCCCGGGATTTGTACATCTCTGTTTTAATGTACGATTTTGTTTTTATAAATATAAATAAAGAGATGCACAGATACCAGTTTTGCGAGTACGAGTACTGGTACTTGCCGAGTACTTACAAGTACGAGTACTGATACATTTTTGTTTATGTTCATGCGACAGTTTTTCTAAAACAATACAGACTGATGATTTCAGGACAGTGGTGGAGCGCCAGAGCCAGGTGCCAGCTGCAACCGCTGCAACCCTTGTAGTTCTCATGAAAATGCCAAGTATCTGCACTGGTACTCGAAAAGTATCTGTGCATCCCTACTAAATAGTGCTTCTCATTGGTCAGCGTGGTCACCTGACCACGCTGACCAATGGGTGCTTGCAATTTGCCAGGAAAATTAAAAATGCATAGGGCTGGACTGTACAGGCGGAGCGTAAGGACTGTTCACTGAAAAGTTAGTATAGCCGGGGGCAAGGTTTCAGATTTGATTGGGTAATTCCATTTTCCCATATTACTTGGGAAAGTGAGCATGCTCTTTAAAGGAGGACTATGAGGTGAGTGATTTTCAAATCGTCCTCAGTTCGAGCCGGCAATGAAACGGTCACAGGTCGGCTCTATAGATCAGGAACACATACCGTCCCTCGCTCAATTCTTGATCCTGTCCCTGCAGAGAGCCGTAACTGTCACTCACGGCTCCCTGCAGGGATTCTCCCCCTCCCCGCTCCGATCCTGCAGCAATGACTGTAGGAACGAATGGGGGAAGGGGCAGGTACAGCTGGCTCTGCCTCTAGGTAAGCAGAGCCAGCTGTCAATCATGCAGCTGGGTGGATCTCGACAGTAATGTCAGGATCCGTGTCAGCTGCGGCAGTCTCAGTATATAGCGAGCTGTAGCTTGCGGTATACTGAGCTTTGGGTCACGGGAGGACGCTAGTTTATGTCGTCCCGTGACCCTTAGGGGAACTATGGGGAAAAACACTGACCCCCATAGTTCTAATGCACATTGTGCATGAAGGAGAGTGCTGCTGCTTGGCTACCACAACAATATGGCACACAGTGGAAAGGCGGCAGCACATTCAAAGCACAATGTCCTATGCATGCATTTATTTGCATGCAGATGACTGTGGCAGCGGGGTTGGTTTTAACTTATTTTTGTCCCGGGCATCGGGCGATAGGAATTCCACACCCCTGCAGTATGTTAAATGCATTTTCACATACAATTAGCATAGCTATCTGAATCTCTCTTAAAGCGGACCTTTACCCATATCTTTAAAATAACAACAAACACACCTTTAGAAATGTTTAGTAATGACAATCTACAAACACTTATTTCTAAATAACTGCTGGCTTTCTATTCTTTGCATACCTTGTTTCTCTTTTCTCTTCTGGCAGTGGCCATATTAACTAAGGGCAGATTACTAGCTCTCCATTTAATTCCTCGAACTCTGGCACATGTGACTAGATATGTGACTGGCACAATCTCAGGGGAGGAAAATGCCTTTCCCTGAGATCATAGATGAGATTTACCAGCAATGCTCTGCTGATGTAACCTTCCCAAGATGCAATGATTTGGCGCTTGCATCAATTTTGCCAGAACTGGACAAGGAAATAGATGATCTCTATTGGCAAACGAAAAACAAGTTTACCGAATGAATGTAAGAAGATTTTAAATCAGCATGCAGAGCTGCATGCTGCTGTGATTTTTGGTAAATGGGGGTAAAGGTCCACTTTAATATTAAACTTGGGTAATTTTCCACACAGCAGTACTCAGACTGGCGAAAAGGAAGGACAGTATAGCGAGTTGATCAGACTGAGTGTTTGATGGACAAACACAGATTCTATACATTGCCAAAGTTTTCCTGACAAGAAAAAGGGCAGAGTAATGTTCTCATCAATGCGCCACTTCAACCCTTGGTCAGGAGTTCATTTTAAGAATGAAAGAGTTCAGCAATGATTATGGTCAGATATACTAAGAAAGAACAGCAGCACCATGCTCAATCACCTTTTGTCCATCAGCATACACTGCATAGCCCGTTACTCGGACTCCATTTGAGGTTCCAGCAGCATCAATTGTCACCGGGAGCCAAGTGATGAGTAGAACGTCAGGCTTTGGACCAAGCTCAACCTGAACATCAAGTGGAGCATCAGGAGGACCTGTGAATAAAAATAATGACTGCACAGCAACGTAATTGCCAATATACCTGATCTCTCCCAATTATCTTGCCCTTAGGTGTCATACAACATAAAGACAAAAAAGTTGACCTGAAGGTCCACGTTATCTATAATAATCTTTTATTACAGAGGTTGTCTACTTTAGGTCTACCACTGAATACCAATGTCCGCCATGTCCCAAAGAAACACAAAAGGATAACTTTTTCACCATACTCTCTGATATTTAATGTAAGAAGTTGTAGTTTGGGTATAGTATAGTTTTAGTAAGTTGTTTAAGGTTTTAAGGGTGTGCTATGATTAAACTGAGAATCCCTTCAAGATGGATCTGTGGCTAGGCTATAGACAGTCAAGTATTTCAATACTTTCAACAAGCAGTGAATGAGCTGTATGTGCACTTGAGCAATTCATCCTTAAAATAGAAGTACTGAAGTCCTCCAAGCTGTGTCTCTCAGTACTCTTCTCCTCATTTCCAGAGTTCTACACCAGCCTTCCTCAACCAGGTTTCCATGGAATCCTAGGGCTCCTCCAGATGTTTCTATGGGTTCCCCTAGCAATTTCGGTCTCTCACACAAGTAACCACTGATGCCATCTTTTTACCTCTCTGTAAGGGGAACATTCTTCCCAGTTACCACCAATGTACTAACTGAGAACTGGCCCCCAGTAGAAGGTGGTCCTTGACAACCAGTGTAACGGGGTCTTTTCTAAATGGCTACCAATGTATGGAGGAATTTCTCCACATACCACCAGAGTAAGGGGGCACTTTTCCCACTAATCACTAAATGTAAGGCGTCCTATACTGGAGTAGTGTTGTTATTCAACAATTTGATCACTGCTCCATATCATGAGGTATGTTCATCAGTTTTCAATCATGTCTACATGTGTGAATTATCCGCCTCAATGCTTTAGGGAGATAAGTGATGTTGTTGGAGGCATCATGCTACAAGGATGATTTTAGCAGGTCCAAGGAGATGTTAGGTCTTTTATCAATTGTCTAATAAAGAGAAACTTTTAATATAAATTGCCTATTTTTGGATTTGTCATTTGGTGCCTTAAAAACCATTTCCTTCATTGCTTTAATGATTACAGGGGTGTGGCACTAATTTATTCAGGTTTCGATCATTTCTGTTTCCAACAATAAGTACATGTTTAGGAGGGTAAAAAAGGGGAAGAGAAAAGCTGCAACAGATATATAGGAGGTGGACAACAGTTGTGATATACATACATTTGTAAGAATATTGGTTAAAGCTGAACTTCGGGGGAAAAACGTTTACCCTTGCAGTGGGCCCCCTCCCTACTGTAGGTTTAACTGCCTAGGGTATGAGTATTTCTCACTCCCTTGGCAGCTGCCACTATTTCACTGCGCGATGGTCTGGAATGTGGGCAGACCCTCAGTGTCCTCCCATACAATGTATGGGATGACGTCAGACAGCAGTGACTGGTGGTATTGGAGGGAACTGTAGCACACAAGAGGAGGAAGCCTGCAGTAGCAAAGGATAATGTCCGTATATCACCTTATTCATCATCCCCTAGGCAAAACCAGCAGCTAACCTTGCAGTGAGGAAGGTTCTGGTTCAGTTCAGCTATTGCTGGTTATTGATTACATTTTGGTAGAGACTTGTCTGCAATTCTTTTCTGGCCATCCAAATTGCTATTATCATCATAACTACATAAATAATTTTGTAGTATAGAGCAGCCCTGGGTTTTAAATATGCTAAGTATGTCACATTTCTTATACTTTTTTTTATTCTTATCAACTTATTCTTATCATGCTTATGTAACATGAGCTGTAAATCTACTAATATTTAGCAAGGGTTTCCTGAGACCTAAAAGTTATTTCAAGGGTTCCTTCGTGTTAACAAAGGCTGTTCTACACTGTGAATAACTTACAGATTAGAAGGCTCCTGACTTACTCTTTGGAGAGGGGGCAGAGTAAAGTGAACTGGCTTAAAAGGGTTTCAGCTACAGACTTAACCACAGTAACCTTTAAAGCTTAAAAATAGGGAAAAAAAAAGGAGCATGAAATAGGTATAAACAAAATACACATTCTATAGTAAAGTCACACTTACCTGCAGCAGGAGTTGTCAGCTGCATAACTGTTGCTTTTGGTTCCCTTCTCTCCATAGGCAACTCCAAAGGAATTCGTTGAGGTCTTGCTTCAACTTTAACATTATACATGGTGCTTGGCCTCAAACTGCTAAAAGTGTACCAGTATGCCCCTGCCTTGGCCAAGCCACAGCTTTCTTCATTTAGATACAAGGCATGTGAATAGTTGCTGTTACATGGCTGCCACGTGATCTCTGCAGAGGTGGCTGACAAGCTGCGAACACGAAGCTGTGTAGGAGCTAGAGTGTAACCATGGCCAATCAATATAGTGCAACGCATCCGATCTGAGCAACCGTTCTCTGTCATACTTTGTACAGAGATACGATACGTCCGAGTTTTCAGCTCCAATTTCTCAATCAAGGCTTTAGTTTGTCCTCCGCATCTAACATTTTGCCGGAGCTCATTATCCACATAAATATTATAACTGACAATATTTCCACTCCCTGCTGCTACAAGAGGAGGTTCCCATCCAACGACTACACTTCGAGCTAGTTGTTTGATAAGGGTTAGCTTTCGAGGGTAAGGCACAGCTGAGACTTCAGCAGCTCCCTCACTATTCCCTTGCAATGGCAATGGGCTGAGACTGCTTGGATCGTCATCCTCCTCACTTCTCTCAATGCTGCTTCCACTCAGAAAGCTAATGTCCTGTGCAGAACTGTGTGACATCTCATTGGTTTCCCTTGGGTGAAAGGCTATCAGATCATCATCAGAGACGCGCTCCACAAAATTAGAAGGAACAAGACCACGCCTTCCATCCATTAACTCCCCTATAAAGACAACACCAAATGTCCCAAAAATATTAGCAAGATTGTGATATTATTGGTATTTATATAGCACCAACAATTTTACGCAGCACTTTATATACTGTATTGTAGCTGGAATAAAGCTAAACAAAAATGTTTTACCTGTGCAAATGTAAGATTAATGAAAATTGGCAAAGTCATGAAAGAATAATAAAGACAAATTATGAAAAAACGCTTATGTAGTAAAACATCTAAAATACATTTAAAATACAGGTCCATGTAAATGTCAAAATGGCCACATTCACTTTTCTATTTCCAGGTAAAAGAAACACTGTTGCAAAATTTAAATGCTTTCCGTCCAGCTTTCCGTCCAATCAGAAAGTAGAGTATAGCATCAAGTTAATTAAACTCCTGGGATATTGATCAGGTCAGTTAAATAACAGAGGGGGTTGTTAATCAGTTTCAGCTGCTTTGGTATTAATGAAATTGACAACAGGTGCACTAGATGGGCAACAATGAGACAACCTCCCAAAACAGGAATGGTTTTACAGGTGGAGGCCACTGACATTTTTTCCCTACTCATCTTTTCTGACTGTTTTTCACTAGTTTTGCATTTGGCTAGAGTCAGTGTAACTACTGTCACAGACAGTTCCTTGAGGATAAAGGAATTGATACCATTGAATGGCCCCCACGCTCGTCTGACCTGAATCCAATAGAACACCTCTGGGACATTATGTCTCGGTCCATCCGACACCGCCAGGTTGCACCTCAGTCTGTTCAGGAGCTCAGTGATGCCCTGGTCCAGATCTGGGTGGAGATACCCCAGGACACCATCCATCATTTCATTAGGAGCATGCCCCGACGTTGTCAGGCATCCATACAAGCATGTGGGGGCCATACAAACTAATGAGTACCATTTTGAGGTGCTGCAATGAAATTTCAGCACAATGGACTAGCCTGCTGCATCATTTGTTCACTTTGATTTTTGGGGTGTCTTTGGATTCAGCCCTCTGTAGGTTGATAATTTTTATTTTCCATCAAACGATATGGCATCCTTTCATTCCCAACACATTACCCAGTCCAGTATACAGTAGATATATAGCATGATATTTTTCCCTATTGAGGTCTGATGTGTTTTCAAAGTGTTACTTTAATTTTTTTGAGCAGTGTATATAAAAATCTGGGGGAGGTCTAGAGACCTAAAGTTTTCGAGGATTGTTTTCTCTGTTCACACAATGCTTAATTCCTGTGATGCACATACAACTTGCCACCTGTTCTTTATACTTATTCATGGGACTCACACCTGTTGCATACCGCAATCTTGTTGTGAAGTTTTGTTTATGGTTTTCTTTTTGACTGCATCAAGAAGAGCAAAAATTGGTGGTGCAGCGGTGGGCAAGCAAGTATAACATATCTCTTCTTTAGAGGGCAATTTTTTTTCCTACATTTTAATTTTGCAGCATTGTAATGTAAACGTTTTACTAGGCAAAGGGTAAATCCAAGCCTACCTACCTTCATAAAATCCATCATCATCCATGTCTCCATAGATGTATATGTATTCGCCAGCTGTGAGAGGCAGCTCTGCTTCAGGATTTTCATTGGGCCCATCAAAAGGATTGTAGCTTAGAAAAAAAAAAAAATCAAAACAAAATCACACATTATAAACTTATGAACACAAACATCAAGGTATCAATATGCCATGCTGGTCATCTGACAAGCTGCATTTTGATGGTGCAAGTTACAAATATGACTGTTGCAGGTGAGAAGTATGCTTAGTCTTGGTGAGGTCTGACTTGTGCCCATAGACAGTGTGCATTCAAGTAGCTAAAAGGATCCAGCAGAGGCTGTTAAACACATTTATTATGACAAGCAACACTCAAGTACACACCTGTATCGTGCAAGAAAAACTTGTAGCTTGGCAGTGGGACGGGTTTCAGGTTCTGGATTCATTGATACGCTATCTGGTTCCAGCTCCTCCATTTCACTGGCGGTGTCCACCTGGCAAAAATAGGTATTAAACAGCATACTGGTAACACAAGCTTGGCACTACAATGTTCTGAATGATAACCGTGGACAAGATGAAATATTAGAACACTCATAACGTTTAGCAAATCACACATTATGGCCAATTTGGTTAGGTAGAAGGGTGACTTGATCTTACCTCTGGCGTGGGACAAGATTTGGAGCTCTCATGTGTGGATTCTGATTTTGATGAGGTGTGGGGTGCTTCAGGCTTCTGTTTTTCTTTGGCAGCTGCATGTTTTGGGGTCTCAACATTGCTGACCTTGGAGCTTGGCTCTGGTGTCTCAGGCAACCTTCTTTCCTGGTCAGTCTTACTCTTTTCATCCGCAGTCCGGAAGACAGAGTCATTCACGTCTGCAATTTGAAAAGTAACCATTACCATTTGAAGCCAGCTTTTTACCCAACAGCAGACATGTATTAAAGACGTAAGGGTGATCTAACAATGTTTAAGCAGCAATTCCCTTCACCACAAGTGTCAACAGACCAGGCATGTGTGACTATATCTGAAGAAAAAGCTTTTAGACAAAATGAGACAAGACATGTGGCGTGTGTTAGTGAGAATGCTAAGCCACCTGCATATTGGTGTATAAGACAATTAAAGCCCTGATAACAATACAAGATTCTTGCATTAAAAATTGACATCCAGCTGCTGTTGCATTTCAGGTGCTTTTCTTGATCTGTTTGCTCTAATTTCTCTGAAATAGTAGATTACTACAAATCCACAGGTTAGCCCGCCCACCTGCACAAAATGTATTGTCCTAACTAAACACATGACATATGTAGCATTGCATGCACTGTGTGTATATGCTTTTTGATTATTATTTTTTTTGTCTGCATGAAATTACGACCCACCTGGCTTACAAATACTCACTGGCAGTGTGAGTAGCCCATTTACTGGTATGCACATGTTCATTGTGCTTAATGATTCTGGAACAGCAAACATTTCACTCGTTTGTGCTGTAATCTCACTAATTGTGAATGATTACAGACAGACGTTCTGCTGTCACAATAGAGTAACAGCATTGAACTAAATTACTTACTAGAAAAATATATGTTACAATAGGCAGGACAAAAGTATTTTTACCTAATTTAAAGTGTCATGAAATGTAAAACTTTGGCACCTACAACCCAAAATTAGATGGGCAGAGGTGTATGTAATTGGAATAGTAAAGAAATTACTCAAAAATGAATAAAAGTTTAGCCTTTTCGGTGGTTTAGCCTATTTTTCCTCTAGAATTAATTTGAAGTTAATAAAAGGATATCAATAATTTAATTATTATGACATTAATTCAAGGCTGAAATAATATACACATCTTTGCCATTTTAATTAGCAAAACCCCAAAAGCCTACCAGATCTCATTGCAAAAGCCTACAACTTCAAAACAGGGCACAACAGTCCAAGTCAAGTACTACAACAAACATGCAAAAACCTTCACACTGGTGACACATGCCATGCAAAATGCTTGTCTGACTGGGTGCACTGTGAACAACCCAACTCTATGAACAACCCCACACCAACACCAGGTTGCATTTACACAAACAGTTCCTAAATTTGAATACCATCAATAGAGAGATAAATAAAGCTCGGACTGCTGCCATCCAGACTAATGTCTAGCCAACTGATCACATCCCAGGAGGAGAACTCGTCTAAAAAAAAAGGACTGGGCATTAGAAGTCATAACACTGCAATGCATTCGTTAGTCATGGTTTTGTGTCTTCACTGGGCTGATCAAAGAAAATACATTTATGACATTACCAGCCCTAGTTATAAAAGGTGTTATTCATCAGTTAAAACACTTTGATGCAGCTTGAAATAAAAAAGAGGAACTGCAATTAAAGATCAACATACTGTTATCTCTAAAAGCAGATATAAAATGAAAGTCAACAAAAGTGCAATCAATGCAGGTGAAGATTCTGTACATGCCTGAATAAAAAACACCAGTACTGATAGGTAGCTTATAAGAAGCATTTATTCCATAGGATGCAGCCTAAAATCTTTAAAGTGATATTAAAGTCACAAGGATTTTAAGCTATTTCAAAGGCTGATTAAATAACTTACAAAGGATACCGTTTCTTGATGTTTAAAAGTTTTAGCTTCCTCAGAAACAGCTGGTCCCCTGAGCTCTGGTCCTGACTTCCTATTTTAGAGTGATTCCTTTCTCAAGCAGAGTGCTATGCAGTCACCTGTGTGCTAGTAAGCTGTGTGCGTCTGCACAAACACAGACACAGCAAATCAAGTTACTCCGCTCCCCCCTCCTCCAAGCTAGTAGATTGACAACCGCTGCGGACCAATCTGTCCTTTGTAATTTTCTACTGGACAGGAAGTTTAGGGAAGCTGAGCTGAGGGACTTGGAAGCAGCTGTTTATAAACATGAGGATTATAAGTGTTTGGGCAAAAATGTAAAGCAATACTTTGCTGGGCAATGTATATTTGTTTATTTTTTGATACCGCAATCAAAATGATCAAGCACAATGCAGAACGCTAAAACACTAGGATTTTTTGACAACCATCTAGTCCAAAGATAATTGAAAATTAGGCCACAGGACCTAAAATAAGGATCCTTATCCTTGTGTTGAAGCTTGGTGAATTGAGCCCGAAAACGCTAAGCTTTTAAATGCGCTTCTGTCCGACTACTTCAGAGATTTATGCACCCCTGTTTGGCAGGCCATGAGACTTGTATTTTCTCTGTGGCACTTAACACTTGCAGGTCTTGTCCCTCCCACAGCCTGTGACCAGAGCATGAAAGGAAAAGTAGCAGATTGATGAGCTCATCTCTCTGTTACTCTGCTCTCTCCTATCAGCAGGTTACTTGTTAGGACATGATCATTGCAGCAAAACTGATTGAATCCTTATGCTGCCCCTACAACTCCCAGTCTGAGCTCTGTTGTACAGGGGGGATGCAAAAGGCACACAAAGTCAAATTTAGGTACATATCCTGCATGCATTTAAAAAATATATATTTAATAAAGTATAATGAATAGAAAGGTGCTTTAATCTGTCTTTTTCTATATCTGCCTAGAGTTTAGCCTTAACTTTAAAAAGAGGCTCATAGCCAAACAAAAGCCAACAGGCTTTTCCATAATAATATTAAAGAAGGATCTTATTCCTTCCAGTGGGGCTACCCCTGCACTGCAAGTGTTAAGTGCTTGTTTTGTCTAGATAGTTAAATTAACAGAGTCATACTCACCCAAATCACAATACCGGGTGGCTCCTAGACCGGTCCATTCAGCCTGTCTCCTCCTCCTCCACTCCAGCGATGGAATATCACTCAGGTTCCTTACATCCTACATACTGTATGGAATGTGATGACTCACAGGACCTAATACTGCTGGAGCGGAGGGGAAGCAAGGCTGAAGGACCGGTCTAGCAGCCAGCCGTGATTGTAGTTTGGGTGAGTATAACCATTATTTTAGCTCCCTAGAGAAAACAAGCACTTAACCCTTGTAGTGGGGGGTGGGGTAGCCTCACTGCAAGGGTCTTCTTTTGGTCTACCTTTTGCAAGGTGTTTCTTTAACCCCTTCGTGACTGACGACGTACAGTGTACGTCGCCAGCATCGGGGCTGTTTAAACAGACTCCCGGCGACTTTTGCCGCCGGGACTCTGTTTAAACTTGTAGAGCCGACTGTCGGCTTTACAACAGAAGCGATCCTGGCGACTTACCTGTCGCCAGATCGCTTCTGCGTCCCGAAGAAGGGGCCGCCC